CGTGTTTTATTAGGTCTAAAGCCACTCGCGCTGCGCGCTCGTGGCTTTAATTATTTAAACCTAATAAAACACTCCTGTTCGTTTATTAAACAGTACATAAAATGGTTCAAATTTATCACCTTACACCGACTATAGATTTAGCCTGTAATATTCTTGTTCTACTACTGTAGCATTAGTCGATTGTAAATTAAGTTGTTTACACACTATATTTGTACATTTAAGAACAAACGATTTGAAATTTCATGCACTAAACTCAAATGGCAGATAAGACAGTATGCTGTAATTAATGATTCCTTAAAATTCTCCAATAAATATGAAAAAGTGTTCCCACTTTTTTCAGGTGAATTGTTCTACCCTAAATCTAAATGTTTTCATTGTCAAACTCTTGATGATGCAGTTCTTTATTGAAGCATTGCAGGTACTTCACCATCCACCGGATCCGCCGTCGTTTCTTGTATTGGCGTGTGTTCTCTTGCTGAATGTTCTGGCACTGGACTGCTTGTCCCTCCAGGACCAATAGAACCAGCTTCTATTTGGTTAATGGGAAATGTTCCTGCATCAAGTTGGTAGTGGGGTGGTGTGACAGGGGCGTTTGCTGGAAAGGAATTGATGGCAGTTATAGGTGTGAAGTTGGAGTCATCTACCATTGCATGGTTGGTATGGCCTCTTGAAGTAGAACTGGTATGTCCTGGTGTTGGGTTGGTGGTTGTTGTGGGGTTGCGGCTTTGTCTGTGTTGGGCGTCATTGGCATCACTACTTGAACAAGGTTGCTCTTGAGCATTTGCTGCTTGTCTAATGGGCATTTCAATTCCATTGTCTGGTCCCACTCTGTTATTCCTTCCACAACAACAACAAGAACCCATCCTGTTCCAAACACGTAACAGTAACGGTAATATTTTGTTTCTGGAACAAAAGAAACATATAGTTGTCTTTTAGTAATTGCTGCAGAGTTTTTGAAATGCAAATATTTAACTATAGTATATATACATTCTCCTTATAATATATAGCCTGAAGGTCTAAAGACCAACTGGCATAGACCATGCATGCTAAGTGTGTGCCATGCATATTTGTTACGTTAAGGACAAAATATACATCATTCTGTATATATATATATATATATATATATATATATATATATATATATATATATATATATATATATATATATATATATATATATATATATTGCTTTATTTCTCAAAGGCTGTTGGCTATCAAATATCTCCTCCAAACTCCCAGAGATAATATGAGTTTAATCATAATTGTTTCTATAACATGCATATTCTTTAACATTTATGGTTCACTAGTACTATAGGGTTTGTGCTGATTTTATTAGGCTGTTTTTTATTTATTTTTTAATACTATATACTTTCATATAAAAAGGTTTATATATTGGTCTTTAACCATGCATGATCTCTATTTCTTTCAGTTACATTTGGTTATATACTTATACAGTATGTGAGATTATAGCCAAAATTTACACTATTAATATAAACTTTAAGGACAATATATATATGAAGAGTAAAATATTTGTATAACATTGGCCTAAACATTAGATAGTTAGACAATAAAATACAATACAATAACAAATACTTAAAAACGGTAAAATCTTCAGTATATAATATAGATACTCTAACTAACATACAGCAACAAGGACAAAATCTGCTGATATACTACTATACTGGTTTACAAGATTGCCGTGTTGGAGTTCACTGAACTGATTATTATAATACTCATCTATAGCTTTCTTAAACTTTGATAACGATTGAAGTTTTTAAGAGGGATGAATTGTTTTATTGCAAATAATTTATTAAACACCTTCAGAGATATTGCGAGCGTTTCTAAAATATTACTCGTTCTTCATTGGTTTGGGTGGCAAATATTTTGCTTAAGGTGTTTCTGTAATCATTCTTGTAAAAAACGTTTGCTTTAAATTCCTCCCGCTCACATTTTTGCGCGCTCTTTATACCCTTTCTAGTGAACCTATTCGTTTAGATAAAAATGTGCTTACAAGAGCATTTTGCAAGTTTTCAAAATATTGTGACTACTATATACATTTACTGAACTAATAGCATAGTTGCCCGGGTTTCTTTTGTTTCAACAGGGACGTTTAATCACGTATCGCCCGCTGTAGCGGGCGATTAGTTCTAATCGCCCGCTAGAGCGGGCGATTAGAACTAATCGTCCGTTACCAAGGGTCACACCTTTGTCTCCCTGACGACTACGCATTAGGCAAGTGCCTCACGCACATAATCGTGCAAGGAACAGCAACAGTTAGCTCAGAGCCGTCAATAGTCTATCATCCGATCCCTGAGTTGCTGCATCATTTAAATTACGCACGTGCAGTCTCCAAATTTATACTAATATATTTAGCGTGTTTGTTGTGGTACGTTAAATGATAGATTGCGTATGCGTAACCGATTAAAGCGTAAAAAGTGCGCATGTGCAACAAGCTTTTACATCCCACAAGCAATGAAGCAAATGTTTTAGCTTAAATACGCTGATTCCAAGTAGGGCATGTTTGTCCATTTTTAAATGGGAGCGAAACTATGCTATTACAAACTACTAGCATGGCTTTTCGGGAGATTAGTGATTAAATGACCCCTTACCCTCGGCAGGTTTGCGGAATTCCCTCGGGCTTCGCCCTCGGGAATTCCGCAAACCTGCCTCGGGTTACGGGGCCATTTAATCACTAATCTCCCTCAAGCCATGCTATTACTTATAAATAGCTGATGGTGTTATCCTTGTAACTGTGTGTAAGATTGTTCAAAATATTTTATTTGTTAAACTAGGTTAGATAGATAGGTTTATTCATGTGTGTAAATAGGTTTATTCGTGTTTATTATGTGTGCATGCAGATTCACATTTTATGAAATGGCGTTGCCAGAATATTACAACCGTAACGAATTGTTATACTTATATTAGGCCTATGTAATACGAATAATGACTACTTATAGTTACAAAACATGTCAGTTTTGTCTACTTTAAGCACCTACAAAATTAAATTATAACAGGAAACTGACTTACATTTATACTTTTAGACGAAAGTTCCTTCGAAAGAAGCGGACAATGTACGTTTTTGACAAGACGAACGTTGACCGGAAGCAAATTTGACGTTATCAACCAATCAACATTCTTGACCCAGTCTTTTAACGTTACTCAAAAACGTCGCTTGCTTAAGCTCGCTAGTCACGAAATATATAGCTCAGCAATGAGACTGCGCACGCAAGACCTCGTGCATGACCATGCCAAACATTACGTCATGATACGCATGCGCGTGATGTATTTCAATTCGCAGTTAGAAACAGTATAGTGTGTATAACGACTTCCGCGCCTGAATAGACTGAATATTTAAAGTTGCATATTCAGGCTGAAATGAGCAACTATGCAAAAGATCTGCATTTCAAAACCAAATGAGTGCTTGCTATGTGACTAAACAATATACTTATATACAGTATGAACACCCTGGTCCTGGAGTTGTTCTGCTTTAAAATTGTAGTAATGCGTCGTTGTAATAGACAAATGTTATTGCGCGATTGTTATATATAGCTAATTCTTAAACCAAACGTTTATTTTCTTTTTTAATTAATTAAACTAAACGTGATTGGCTAATTTGTGCAGGTCACTGGATTTATATAAATGCAAATGTACCCCGTCCGGCTGCGAGTGAAAGAATGAAAAGTGAAAATGGGTCGACTCATTGGAACTCTCGGGAAAACAAAACTATATTTCCCCCGCATGCAGACAGTATGTGTATATATATTATACCTGGAAGAATCATTTTTGAATTAAGGTCCAAATAACTCATTTTCATGTAAATTTTCGAAATGTTCCAAAGCAATATTCCATGACAAGCAATAATTCCACAGAATTTCTACCATATAACCATCTATACATGTATTATAAAGGCTTGATAGAGACCAACCATTCCATTGTTTAATGTACGATATAACAGCCATCTTCTAACTTTCGTGAACGTCGATATTTCGTTAACAATTGTTGTTAACACAGGTGCTATTACTTGCAGATGACACGAATGCATGAAATAATTAAATTATATAATTTTGCACTGTTATTAGTTTTTTGGAGGCTTTAAGACTAATTAATCGTCGTTATTTTGCCGTGTGACTTAAGTAATTAAAAACCTTATCCAACCAACGAGTTACACGCAGTCGCCTGTTGTGCACAACTTATTTGAATAAACAAAATTCGGCTGTTTACAAAGTATTTGCGAAAAAAGTATGCAAATTAAAGCAATACATAGTATTTATTGTATAGATACTGAATTTTCCGAATGGATTTACTCAGTGCATGTGCGAAAACTCGCATTGCAATGTATATTAGCCAATCGTGCAGCAAAGCAAAACAGTTTTTGCACACACGAACGTTTCGTCCAGTCAAATGATACGACGATGACGTATAGTAAATTCACTCACGGCAACAATCTTCCTACCCTTTGTTATGACCTTCGCCTTAAACTGAGCATAAACTTTATTTTGTCGCTTTATATCGATTTTTATTGTTGGAATGAATTGCATACTTTCTGCAGACATTGTACGTATGCTAAAGTTATTGAAATTCTCTTAGCGTGCATAATTACGACTTTTTTTATGAATTATGAATGTATCGTTAACTGTAAGTTTAGCTAAATTTTGAAACTAAAAATTGAAAAAACTGAAGTCAAACTGCCTGTGCTATATAACATTTGTGTCTTCATTAAAAAACTCCGCATATACTGTTTAAACAACAAATTTGTTCATGGGAATAATATAAGATGTATATATACAAACTCGAGCCGAAGGCGGGGTAGAGGTTGTATACTACTTGTATATCTTATACTACACGGACGCGAATGCTGTATGTAACCTGTGAAACGCAAGGATTTATGCAGTTGTGTTTTTAAAAAAATAAATTTTCATGACGAGTTAAATGTATCGTAGTGCAAGCAACAAATTCATGCAAATAGATGCGTGTTATACTGTTATGTTAACCAAAATGTTCTAATTTATGCATAAACATGTACATGCATAAATTAGAACAGTTTGGTCCGGTTAACAGAACATGCATGCTTCTATTTTCATAACCTGACCAAACGTTGCCTTTATACCCAGTGAATTTCAGTTAGTCCAGATTTTTTCAGTTTACCACTTACTTTGGTTGGACTTGGCCATTATTTACATGTATGGGGTGGGCGTTGGAAAAAAGTTGAAAATTCGCCAACTCCCCCCCCCCCCCCCC